AACCAACCATCCATCTACCCAAACGACCATCCAACCAACCAATCAACCACCCAACCAATGAACAAACCAACCATCCAACCACCCACCCAACTATCCACCTACCCAAACAACCATCCAACCAACCACCCAACCAACCATCCATCTACCCAAACAACCATCCAACCAACCGACCACCCAACCAACCAACAAACCAACCAATCAACAACCCAACCATCCGACCACCCACCCAACCACCCACCCACCCGACCAACCATCCGACCGTCTCTTCTTTCCATTTTTTCTTCTTTTCTCAGCTTTTTTCTCCACTTTTTTTTCCTCCCCAGCCCCAACCTCCCTCCCCCCACCCCTCCCTCCTTCCTCCCCCACCGTTTTGGGGGTCCGGCGCCGTGTCCCCACGTTCCTTCACCTGCCATCATCGCGGCGTGCCGCCGGGTGCACCCAGTTGTTGTCGTGCAGCCCCACGCGGCAGCCGGGCGCTTCCTTGTCGGGCCGGCGGCAGCACATCCAGTAGGAGCGGCCGTAAGGCAGGTCGTGGTGGTAGGGCTTGGGGTGCCATCGGCACAGCGACACGTCCCCCTTCTCGTAGTGCTTCTTGCACTGCTTGCAGGGATCGTCGCGATACAGCGGGTCGCGGTTCCAGCGCGAGTCGGTGGCTTGCACCCCAAACGTCTCGATGATGGATTTGAAGTAGTGGCAGGAACATTTGAGGGCGGCCAAGGTCTGGGTGGGCAGGTAGCTGAAAATCTTCACCATCACGTGCTCCGGCAGCAGCAGCATGTACTGCCGCGGCTCCAGCAGCCGCTGGATCTTGAAGCGGATCTCCAAGAAATCGTGCGACACGTGGCGGTACAGACGGCACAGCGACGGGTCGGCGGCGGCGGGCGGTGCTTCCTCCTGTGCCTCCATCCCCGGCCCCGTTTGGTTCGTGTCCTCAGCACCGGGCAGGAGGAAGAGCTGTCCCGGGGGCGGCGGGTCCTCCTGCGGCGCCGCCAAGCGCACCGTCTCCTCCTTCACCTTCTTGGTGCTGTCTTTGCCGAAGAAGACGCACTGATCCACCACCCCCGTCACCACCACGTCCACGTGGAAGCCGGACACGCAGTCCCGTGCCACTGCTGCCGTTTCACCCGCCGTCCCCTCGGAGCCATCAGCCTTGCTGCTGCCCGCCGCCCCTTCGCCGCACGGCACGGCCACGTCGGCACCGTCGCGGTCAGCGTTGGGCGCCGCGTTGGCCAACAAGAACTCAACGTTGGTGGGGAGCTGATCACGGGAGGGGCTGATGAGCTGATAGAGATCACAGGTGATCTTGTCCTTGGCGCGGGTGCCACCACCTCCACCCGTGAACACACAACCGGGCCGCCCACTGGTGCTCACTGGCTCCCCGGATGCGGTGCTGGCGCGGCCGTCGCGAGCGCTGGAGATGCGGAAGGCGATGCGGACTTCGCCCGGTGCTGCTGTCGCCGTTGCTGCCGTGGTGCTGGCACAGTCACCGCTGGGGTGACACAGCCCGTTGTGCCGCCCGCCGGCGCGTTGCCGTGACTCAAAGTGTGCCACGGCCTCGGCCACACGGCTGCAGTCGGTGCCCGGCGGTGCCGGCGGCCCTTTGGCGTCGCCGTTCACCTCCATCAAGCTCTGCACGGCCAACGCCGCCCGCTGCTCCACCAACGCCACCATTTCGGCCACAGAAAGAGGGTCCGGGGCTTCACCATCCCCCTCGTGATTGGGGGTCTTACCGGGCTGGTGGCAACGCCGGCGCCGTTTGGCTTTGGAGCTCTCGCTGCCCCAGTTTCCCTTCACTTTCATGGTGTTGGCGCGACCGCCGGCGCCGCCGCATTGGTGGGCCACGAAAAATGCCACTTTCTCTTTGGTGTTGCCAGGTTTGATGACGTACCACGTGTCCAGCAACACGCGGCCTTCCTCTGCCGGTGCGGCGGGGAGAGGGGGGGGGGTGTTCTCGGAGGGTCCTCGGGCGCTGGGGGGGTCCTCGGGGGGGCGGCACGGCTTCCGGGTAGGGACGGGGACGGGGCATGGCTTGTTCTGGGTATAGGTGCCAAAAGGACGGGGACACCAGAGCTGGAGGTGGGGGAAGGTGTTGGGCTCCATCAGGGCCGCATGGCAGAGCGGCGGGGGCCGGCCTGAGGAGAGACGGGGATGTCAGCACGGCCCTGGGGATGCGATGGGGATGTTTGGGATGGGGTGGGGATGTTAGTGGGGGTGGGATCAATGGGGGTGGGGTGGAAATGGGATGAGGATGTTGGTTGGGGTGAGATGGGATGGGAACATTAGAAGGGATGGGATGGGGACATCAGTGGGAGTGGGATGGGGATGGAATCAACGGGGCTGGGATAAAAATGGGATGAGGACATTGGTTGGGATGGGATGGGATTATTATATGGGGACATCAGTGGGGGTAGGATGGGGATGGGGATGGGGATGTTGGTTGGAATGGGATGGGGATGGGATGGGAACATTAGTAGGAATGGGATGGGGACATCAGTGGGGGTGGGATGGGGATGGAATGAGGATGTTGGTTGGGATGGGATGGGAACATTAGTAGGAATGGGATGGGGACATCAGTGAGGGTGGGATGGAATGGGAACATTGGTTGGGATGGGGTGGGGATGGAGACATTAGTAGGGATGGGATGGCGACGTTTGGGATGGGAATGGCACGGGGATGGGATGGGGACATGAGCAGGGCTGGAGGAGACAGTATGGTGATATGATAGGATTGATGGGGACAGC